ATGTGTCGTGTTAGCCACTACTCTCACGTCGCTCTAGTATTTTGCCAGAAACAGAAAAAAGGTTCGATTATTTTCGATTTCGAATAATCTAAGGTTCGAATATTTTCGATTTCGAATAATCGAATTTCGATTAATCGAAATCCTAGCATGCCTAGCTGGAACGAATGTTCATCACGTAACAGTCCAACAAATTCTTAAATATGATGATGAACAGGAAAATTACTTTCCAGACGCTTGTTATATTCTTCCACATGATTATTAGTTCGTGGTAAATTATTTTGAATTGCATCTTTAACATTCCACGTTTGTGCATTGAACAAACCGATATCACTATCAACATACGTCTGGACTAAATAATCATTGAATTCCGTTGCACCAGCATGATCGGGTGTATATAGATCTATATAGATATAGATATAGATACCCATTATGATTCACTGGTTTGTCTTTTTCAGTAGACGTGAAAATTAACATTTTGATGAACAAAACAATTTAACTTATTTAGATTTAAATTTGTGATAGTAGTGGCTAACACGACACATTTTGTCCGGTACGCGCACCTAGTCTTGTGTACAATACCATCGCCATCGACTAAACGATGGTACAACACTTTATTTATTTTTAGGCGCGAACATAGATATCTGATAGATCAGAAAAAAATATATGTGACGAACTGAGAGAGAAGTGTTGATGGGACGAACTGAGAAAAAAGCTTCGTGGGACGAATTGAGAAGTCAATTTGGGACGAACTGAGAGGATACCCTTTCTTTAGTAACGTTAAGACTAGACTCTTAATCTGCAGATAAAGAGTTGTATACATGACCGTTTCAGGATCGTTGGATCTAATTCACAGTCTGTTCACACAGTTTTCTTTCACAATGCGACATTATTTTGCATATTTTCACGATGGTATTAGGATTTTCTAACTGGAAATTGTCAATACCATCGTCATCAATTAAGTTAAATGACGAAACTACGCTCTGATTAATGGGTAAGATTATCTTTTATCAAGTTACATAGGAGAATTAGTATTTTCGATACTCTTATTTGTCTCATAATATTATTCTGGGCTTCTACTGTGCATGACGACATCAATCTTGTTTCTAAGGAATTATCAAAATTCCCAACAACACCAGAAGCCATCTGCTCTATATGTTTTTGCCTTATATATGTTTATGTTTATGCCTTAACTTTTCTGTTTTTATGTATGTTTATGTTTATGCCTATATGTTTATGCCTTAAAATGATACGAAAGCCTGTAAACGCTATCTTTATAGGTTGTGATTTTTATGTGGTGGGATTTACAAGTTCAAAGATGTTTTTGATAGGGTTTTCCAGAGATCCGATCTTTAGAAAACGCGACCAAAAGTGCTACGCCATTGGAATGAGCGCATACGAAAACGTATGAAAATAGTTTCAGAATAGTTTTCGTAGGCTTTCAAACTGCTTGTAAATTAAAAATCCTAGTGTCTCACTAAAACTGCCACGAGAATGCTGCAAATCTCTCATTTCAGTAAATCGAACGATTTTTTACGCATTACAACTGACATATCATTCGATACAGTTCGATGCACTGATTCTAAATATGTCAATAGTTTTTAATGAAGGTGCTTTGGGACGAGAAAAAGGGATTTTTTGCCTGAATAACCTATATCTCGGTCCAGAAGCATTTCCGCTAGCAGTGTTGGCTCATTGTATATAGGAAAATATTCTATGAAAGTATCACTGAATTTGGAGCTGTGGAAAATTGTGGACTAACTTTTCTGAATACCTTTTTTCGGAAAACACTTAGCGTACAGAAAACATTATTTTCTCTACTCAGAAAAGGCTTAAAGTCAAAAACATTTTTACGAATCGGTAGCTTAGAATTTATATCTTCGGAATATGTGAAATTGATTTTTCCAAATATTTATTAGTTCAACAAAAAAACCTCCAACCAAAGGTTTTTTTGTTGAACTAATAGTCTAAAAATACCGCATTTTTTATGACTTACTTTTCTCGACGATGTTGATTATTGTAGCCAAACTTTTTTCACTGCTAAATCGGTCGTTAGGCAATGTATATGAAACACTATCAAAATCTCAAAAAAACTCACTTTCGTTTATTCTCCAAATGGCCGCTTGATTATCCACTATGCAATGCACATGTATGTAAACAGCGAACCAAAACATCAGTCCTATTGCCAAATTTTCTATGACAGCAGTCTCAACAAAACGCGAAATTTTTATTTTTTTAAAACAACTATGAAAAACACATTTTTTTAAAATCGTTTTTCGACAAAGAATATTCATCTGATGAACCTAAAATAACGTTCAAGTACAGCCAAAAATAAAACAAAGACTAACGTGTTTTTGTTAATTTAGCCGTTTTCGCCTCAAATTGGGTAAGTCGTTTTTCGATAACTTTTTCATTTCTTCATATATATTTTTCACCGGAATATTTTGGTAATTTTCACGCCCTTTGTAGCCATTCGTAAATCGAGAGCCAAGCGTAAATTCCCGGGTGACTCACGAGGGATTTTACATTTTGCCGTGGATTCACCAGTGAAAGTGCACTAGGGGTTTCTGTTGTGGTTTTATAAATTAACTTTAACCTGATGCAATCATTCATTCTAAATTTAACTCTTTAACCGTTTCTCAGCTGCCCGAATACATGAAGCTGAGTTTAGTGCTCGAAATACTGTCGTCTAGAGCTCTGCTGGTCAACTAAATCTGGAGACGTTACGATTTTGATAACCTACTTTTAACCTAAACGGTAAAACGATTTTGAGTAACAGACTAGAATACTCAGGGATGGAGAGAACGTGGTTTTATTGGTTCAGATAAGTGACCAATAACCTAGACGTGATGGGTATTCGTTTAGCAGGTGTTAGCCCAAATACCTGGTGACAGTACAGCTGGTGTTCCTCATATAGTTATGGTGTTCCCCTCTATCGCTATAAATAGTACGGTGACACTACAGCTGGTGTTCCCCGTAGTAACATTATAGCCGATGTTCCCCATATCGATTTAGTGTTCTACTAATAGCAAAAGATAGAGTAAAAAATATGCGAGAATAGAAGAATAAATTTATGAGAAAGATACATCGCGCGTTATTTTCAAGTGTTCTTAATTTGATAATCACATTGCAAATCAAAGATCATAGCGTAGGAAAAAAAGCCACTGAGCTTATCTCGATAAGTCGAAATGATCCGATGCGGAATCTATTACAAAGATTATGAAAGATAAGTTAGATATGCTTGGGAAAACTGTATATATTAACAGTTCATATCAGCTAATAATCACAACTTCAAAATGACTATACCAATTTCAACCAACTTCCGTGAGTTTTATTCGATCCTTAACGATACGAAGAAGTTTCCGTTGTTCGTCAGTGAACAAAAATTAGTTTTACAAAGTGAAGACCACAAGTGTCCCAAATGTGGCTCAGAAATGAGTGACGGGAAACGTCATAAAACGCTCAAGAATGGTAAGTGATTCTTTCACTGGTTGCCACACACAGTTAATTGAGTGCTTATGGGGTCAAGCTGTGGTGGGCAAATATATCGTCGAAAACAATGTCATGGACTGTTGAATGCAGCGGATCAACTGTTGTTGATTGATCTAACTTTTCACGAGAAGTAAGTGCTACTGTATGAACTATTTTACGATAACACAGATTGTTTAATTAATTCAGGTCTGTACAGAAAAACTTAATATGGTTCCACAAATGGGAGACATTGAGGAAGTTGTCCAGATTGACGAATCACCTTTCCGTGGTAGGCGAAAATACAATCGTGGACGACTTTTACTTGGTAATCAAAATAATAATGGGAACAACAACACAACAAATGGACTGGTACCATACGCATCCAGTAGTGAGGAGAGCGATGGCACTCAGCAATAAACAAATAGTCGTAATTATGGAAGACGTATGGATGGTAAGTGTTTCCATCTGATCTAGTCTCAACTAACAAGCTTCATTATGTACCTGGAACAACCGTATGGTCAGATGGATGGGCTGCCTATAAGAATTTACAAACGCAGTACGGATAACCGTAATTATGGAACACGTATGGACGGTAAGGGGTTTCTGATTCCATCTGGCCTAGCCTCAATTAACAAGCTTCAGTATTGCGCAACCGAGAGAAGATGGACATGAGGTATAGTTTTTCCACGAACAACGTCGTAATCGTCTAACATTAGTTTCAATTATATGGAAACATGTAGAACCTAGAGCAACCGTATGGTCAGATGAATGGGTTGCGTACAAAAACCTACAAACGCAGTACGGATATGATCACCAAACAGTAAGTAAACCGATCATCATACCTAGAAAACTTGATAAACATTAAATTCAATTAAAGGTGAACCACAGTCAAAATTTGATTGATCCCCACACTGGTTGCCACACACAGTTAATTGAGTGCTTATGAGGTCAAGCAAAAACCAAAATATTAAGAACAATGCCTGGCTCAACGTTATTAGATAACCATTTAAACGACTTCCGGTACCGTTCGGTCCATAAGGACATGTTTCCCGCAATTCTAACGGATATTCGAGAATTTTGTATGTAATGCTTTTATTGCTTTTGTGTTTTGTTTTCTTTGATTTTCTGGTTTGTAATGTTCTTTTTCGTTTTGCGATTAAAACATTGAACTATATTTTTTACTCAATCTTTTACTATTAGGGGAACACCAGCTATAATGTTACTACGGGGCACACTATAGTTGTATGAGGAATACCAGCTAATGTCACCGTACTATTTATAGCGATAGGGGGAACACCATCTGTACTGTCACCAGGTATTTGGGCAAACACCTGCTAAACGAATACCGACGTTATGATGAGCTTCTTATTATCTTTTTCTCTCTTTTTCTATTGTTTAAAATATCTTTAATACAATTTGGACTGATGTTTTGTGATTTTATTTTAAATTGAACTACTAATAGTGAAAGATGACAGAACTGACGAAGCAAATGGAAGAGAAAAAAAACAAATTCTACGTTCGTTAAAAGACTGCGAATATACAACAGTAACAAAACTACCGTCGGGTGTCAAAGGCGAATTTTCAGGTGTGCTGAAAAGCATTTTAGAAAAATGTGCTTTTGTTTTGTTTGTTAAAGAAAAAATTGCATAGGTTAGATTAGGTTAACCTAGGTGAGGTTAGGAAAAAAATGCCAAAAGGTCATAACCTACAGGGCTCTACCGTCGTCTAAGCACCATCCGTCATGCGGTTTGACTACGAACATCTCAATCATTTGATCGACGTTATCGTTAGCCTCCATATTTATACAAACATGCCTTCTAGGGATCAATTACTTAAATTATCGAACAGTATAGAACTATTTGTACGAAACACTGTTCAAAACGTTAAACCTAGCCTAACTATCGAGCAGTACCACTCGTACTCTCTAACCTAAAAAAAATAGGTTTATTACGAAACTTAT